TGGAGCAAGGAAACCAGGGCAGGAAAGCCAGGGCAGAGCTACTTCAGGGGAGAGCTGTTCCACCCTCTCCTACACATCCACCCATCCACCCACGCGTCCTTCCTTGATATTCCCAACCACCTCTCATGTATTTGACTCTTTCTGATGCTTCCCATTCAGCTGATTCCCTATCCACTCGCCCCGCCCCGCCCCCTTTATTCACCCACTTCCTCACTAACCCATTCCCACACCCACCTACCACCCACCTGTCCTCACAGCCACCACTTGAGGAGCACTTGCTGGGAGACAGACCCCAGGGTGGGAAATGCCAGGACATATGCTGGGGGGTGGGACGGAGGGGATGGCAGACCTGGAGGCTTGTTCCTTGCCCTTTGGGAGATCACAGTCAGGGCGTGTGGGTGTGCACACAGACACAATATGCAATTTTGTATTAAGAGCCAGTGAAGAGGGACACAACCTGCATGACGGTCTGGGGAGGGGAGGCAAGATGAGTTTCCCTGGTAAATGTTTTGGCGAGAACAGCTTCGTGCAGATGTCACTGGAGGATAAGTGGAGTCTAACAGGAGTCTGAGCAGAGGCATTCCTGGCAGTGGGCACAGCAAGTGCAAGTCTGGAGGTGTGACATGTCCCCTTCCTTGTTGGGGCTGGGCTTTTGGAGAAGGGCTCTGGCAATACTAGTGGGGGAGCCACTGAAGGCTGGGGACAATGAGGTGTGAGCCGAGGTGCTGATGTCACCTGCTGCCCCAGAACACCCAGATAATGCCCTGCCCACCTCCCCTGCAGACACCAATGTCCTCCGATACATCCAGTTGACTCAGCTGAAGATGAGCCGGTGTAGCCTGCAGCGGGAAGACAGTGGGGCCCGGCCTCGGGACGTCATTGGCTGAGGCCAACCTAAGGGAACTGCCCCCCCCCCCACGTCACTGTGTAACTTCCCTGACTCATGTGTTCGCTGGTAAAGCACTTATCACTGGTGGTCATAACCTCTTTGTGTGATGTTCTTGTGGGAACCGGGGAGGGGACACAGGCCTGGGCTTCACCTGCTAGACCTCAGAAATCCAGAGGGGTCCAGAGAGGAAGCAAGGGTGGGGGGTACCCTACTGCAAATGAGCCAGGATCAGGGCCTGGGCTGGGGAAATACACACAGCCAAGCGTGGTAGGGGGCAGGGGTTACCTTTAATGCTGCATTTTGTGCCAAATCCCCCATGTTGCCCTGTCCCTGAGTATCCCTGCCCACCCTACCCCTGCTGCAGGGCGAGCACAGGGCCCCACCCTCCGGGGTACAAAGGAATAAATTAAGTGTCCCCCCGCCCCCCTTCCCCAATAAATAGAGTATCCTGCCCAAGGCCTCCCCTGCCTTGTGGCCTGGTGGGCTGGGGCAGGGCCTGGGGCGCTACATTCATGGCTGCCCAGGCGGGTGGCAGTGGGCAGGCCTCAACGGGAGCTGTGGGCCCCACACAGGGGCACTGTGCTGTCCTGGCTCTGCCCCTCCATGTCCAAGTCAAGCAGCGTGGGCTGCACGCTGGGGGGCCCAGGGCTCTCTGGAGTGTCCAGCCTGCTAGGAGGTGAGATGCTGAGTGTCCGGCCGAAGGAGACCAGTTTCCAGGGGTCCAGGCGGGGGCGGCTGGCAGCCGGCCGTGGTCTTGGGGCAAAGGTCAGGGTGGTGGGGCGACCAGGAAAGTCGGGGGGCCGGAGGTGAGTAGGAAACAGAGCCTGGGGTTCGGGCAGCCGAGGGAAGTCCAGGGGATCTCGAGGGCCTGGGAAGAGAGGATCAGATGAGGTGAATGGGGTGGAGCAGAGGGTGGTATTGAAAACCCAGGAGCACTGACATGAAAATTGGCATTTCTGACTTTTCTCAAAAAATTTGCTGGAGAAAAAGCCCCCATTCCTCCCAACTCTACACTGGGCTAGGGCCAGAAAGACAGCACACAGAGCGATAGAGACCTCAGGCATGGCCGCTTCTCTAAATGGGGGACAGCACCTCCCCACACGGGTCAGGAGTAAATCAAAGGACACTGGGAACAGCAGCTCAGAGCTCGGCAGGAAGTATTAACTCCTCCATGCGTCAATCATCCTTGTCCGTTAATAAAGGCACAGAGAACAGAGCCTGGCACGTGAGTGTTCCCCATAATTTTTGTGTTAGCTCTAGTTATTATTGCAGCCATTAATGTCACCTGCTTGGCCACTGTGGACACTGGAGTTTGCCACCTCTGCTTCATCCTGTGTCTCAATCCCTTGGGGCCCCACAAGGCCTCCAGCCGTGAGGGCCAGGGGGACACAGCCCCTTCCTCCCACTGTAAGCAGGAGATGGCCGCCTTGGCATCCTGGGGTGGCAGCTGGGTTGGAACATTGGACCTTGGAGGGACAGGGAGAAGGGCCGTTTTCTGTGCACCGGGCACAGGGCGCCTCACTCACCAGGGCCGGGGCCCGGGGGCTCCCGCGCCTCCCGCTGCCCTAGTGCCCCGTCGGACGGGGTCCTCCGGTGCCCGCGGTTCATCGCGCGAGCGGCAGTGACCGTGACGTGGGTGGGCGTCAGTGACTGGCGGGGGTCCTTCTTGAAGCTCTCCAGCTCCAGGTCCACCAGGGGGTTGGTGCTGGGCGAGGGTGCAGGCGGAGAGGGCGGCGGGGAGGGGGCGGCTGGCGCGGCCTCGTCGCTGTCGGAGCGCAGCAGGGAACGCGTGGAGTTGCAGTCGGACACGGAGGACAGTGACACCAGGGTGGCCGAAGGCGCCAGGCCCGGGCCAGCTGCG